TAAATAAATCTTTAAAAAAAAAATTAAAAAATAAATAAATAAATAAAAATGAAGGTGAATGAAAAGAAATAAACTTGTCAAAATGTTAGCTCCCTTCAAATGATTGCATGTTCTGTACTTTTTTCTATACTTTACAGTTTTCCTATAATAAATGGTATTATAACTAAACTGTATCTATAGTTTCAGGTAGTGCAGTATCTAGGCAGCAGGGATACAAGCATGAAAAAAGGGAAGTATGGAGCTCTGTTGGGAATATTGTGGAAAGTTTCTCAGAGGAAGTGGCATGGCCTCTGGACTGAGCACTGAAGGATAATACGATATGAAGAAGTGGCAAAAAGAATGCTTTCAAATTGTAGGAGGCAAGGGAAAGCCGCACCTGCACAGCCTGTTTGTGGTGCTGAAAGAAGGCCTATAGCAAACTCTGTGAGGCAAGAAGTGCTTAGAGATGAAACAGGAGACACAAGAGTAGGCTGTTAAGCTGTTGTGTTAAAAAGCATTGTTGTTTTGGAAGTCAGTGAGTAGATTTTAAGGAGAAAGTACCTTGAAATCTGTCCTGAGGAAATCTGTGTAATGAAAAGAATGGATTGAAAGAAAAAATGGTAGAAACAGGTGAGCAGTTAATAGACCTTAGTGATTATCCTATGAAGAAAGTCTGGAGCCTAAAGGTGATTGTGGTAGCTAGTACAGAGAAGCGGCTAGATGTAAGAATGATCAGGATTTAGGTCAATAGATTTGATTACTAACTGAAACTATGGGTAGGGGCCATTTCAGTGCTCTCAAGCTATCAATTATTGAACCTATAGCAAGAGCAAGGGATAGCTGAATGGAATTGAGGGAGGGCTTTTGTAAGATGATAGTTGTTTTTTTCTTTTTTCGAAGACGTAATATGTTTTTATTGAAGTGTACATTGACTTTGATTTTTTAATTGTGATAAAATGCACATAGTATAAAATTGGCCATTAGTGACAATCAAGTATATTCTTAATATGCAGATACCACTACTGTTTAGTTCCATAATGTTTTGATAACCATAAAAAGAAACCCACTAAACAGGCAGTTCTCATCTCCTCCTCCTGGCCCCAGGCATCCGAGCAGTAATCTGTTTTCCATGTCTGTTATGTGGTCTTGTGTGCCCAGTTTTTCATTTAAGCATGTTTTCATGGTTATGTTGTAGCTGTATCAATACCCTTTTCATGGCTAGAAAATATTTTCAGAGCTTACCACATTTATCCATTGATCAGTTGATGGACATTTGGATTGTTTCTATCTTTTGGATATTATGGAAAAAATGCTGCTGTGAATGTGCATGAAGAGGATGTTTTTGAACACCTGTTTTTAATTCTTTGGGAAAGATATCCAGAAATTGAACTCCTGGGTCATATGTTAATTTCATGTTTAAAATTTTTGAAGATGTGCCAACGTGTTTTCTACCATTTTATATTCCTGCCAGCAATACACAAAGATTCTAATTTCTCTGCCTCCTTACCAAACCTTCTTATTGTATATTTCTTTGATAATAACCATCCTAATGGGTGTGAAGTGGTATCCTCACATTAATTATGTTCCTTGAGTATTCTGTCACAGTCCTTATCACAAGGTATTATATATGTTTTCTTCTTTGAACTGCACTAGACCAATGGTTGGCACAGATAGCTTTTTTAATATTCCAGATTATAAAAGTGATTACTGGTAGAATGATGAGAAAGGAGTGATGCTAAGTGGTATGGGGTTTATGACATGTTAGGGGGGTGGGGTGGGTGGAGAGCACAAGTAGAAGGTTGGCTTTGGGGGAAGAACAGAAGAGATGGGCATGAGCATTGCCAGATTTGAGGTTAGGGTACAGGATGTGAAGGAAAATCATATCTGGAGGTTTCTCATGAAGAGTGTCATTATTGAGGTTTGAGAAAAAGGAAAGGTTTGGGATTATCTCTAAAGTGGATAAAGAGACTGCTGCTTGGGGAAGCATAACTTTACTTGTTGGCAATTTTGAAGGCTTAGTTGAAATTAGAAACTATGTATTATGATTTAAAATTTTGTTTTAACTCTCTCAGTACTTAAATCAGAGTAGATGGCCAGGATTTATCATGGGTTAAAATCTTGAGCTTTTGGGACCTCCCTGGTGGCATAGTGGGTTAAAGCACTGCGCTAAGAAGCTAAAGGCACTTCAGCAGGAGTTCAATCCCCGCCTTGGAGGTGACCCACATGGTGCAGAAGACCTCTCCTAACCCACCTGCTGCTCCCCTCAGTAGTGTATTTCAGTAACTCTGCCTGTTCTGCTCCCCACTCTGTCTCTGTTGAATCCTCTCACTGCCCCTGCACCTCTGGCCTGTACCCCAGCTCTGTGTGCATAAATAAATATTAAAAAAAAAAAATTCTTGAGTTTTTGCCAGGAAAAAGGAATTGAGGATAAGAGGAGAGTTCATTTTATAGATGAAAGTCATCAGAGTACTAGGTCATGTAACCTAGGACATAAAGAGGAAGTAATTGACTATACATATGATGGACCATGGCGGCTAAAATAGGGAGGGGAATGTGATGATGTTTGCAAAGACAGGAAGTGAGCAGACCAGTAGTGTTCATTATAGAGTGTTGTACCTTTTTCTCCTTATCAGTGGTTCTCAGAGTTTTCACCAAACCAGACTTAACCACCATTGCTTGGGAACTTGTCAGAAATGGAAATTCTTAGGTATCAGTCCAGATTTATATGATTAAGTCAGAGAATTGACTGTACCCATGTAACTGAATGAGCGCCTTAGGAGATTGCATTCAGAGAGCAGGAGACCTAAGTTTTTATTCAATAGTTTTGCTGTATTATAAGGACTAAAAGAGATAATAAAGGGAAAAGACTGGACACTCCCTTCTGCCACGTACCTCTGCAATAGTTGTATCCCTGCACTATTCTACCAGCCCTCCTCACACTGTACTGTACTCTATCTTATTTGAACTGTGCTAGACCAGTGGTTGGCATTCTTAAATATTCAAAATTATATTATTGGTAAATTAATAAGTTTTCCCCTCTTTATATTTTTTTCTGAATTCTACCTTCTCTATAATGTCTATTTTTTCAACTGGAAGAAAATTCCTTTAAAAATCTTTTTGATAATTATCTCATAATAAACAGCTCTTCCTGCTTGCTTGTTTGTGCAAATATCATCTTTTCCTTTCCTTTTTTCCCTAATAAACCTGCCCTTTTTTGATGAAACTAAGTATTTTTTACTCTTCTTGAGATCTTTTCCCCCTTATTTTCTAGCAGACTTTCAACTCTTATTAATATAGAGCGTTGGTTCTCAAACTTCAGTATGTAGCAGAATCACCTGGAAGACTTATTAAACAGGTTGTTGGACTTAACTAAGTAAATCTGGACTGGTACCTAAGAATTTTCATTTCTGACAAGTTCCCAGGCGATGCTGATACTTTTGGTTTGGGGACCACTAATAAAGAGAACCACTAATAAAGAGAATAAGGTACAGCAGAATATGCCATTTCAGTTCTCCAGGGAGGCTGATGAAGGCTGAAGAGAAGATTTGCTCAACAGTATTCTGCACATTTCCAGTTATCATCCTATCTCCTCCTTCACACAGCACATAAGGAAACCAGAGAATTGGGACCTTTGAGTCTGCCCTTGATCATTTGTCACAGCAAGAACTTTATCTCCTTTTCCCCTGACCCCTCACATTTCTTTTGGATCTTACCTCTTTGCCACGCAGAGTGAGAAACCTGAGACATAGCCTTTGTGTGTGTTATTGTTTGCCAATTAATTTTGGCTAATAATTATGTTACCCACTTCTGTTTTTTAGAAACAGTTTTCATTGTTGCCTTTTTTCAATGAAAAGTCACTGCTTTAAAATATTTAGCCATGTTTTTAACTTAAAGACTTGTATTTTTAGTGGTTAAAAATAAGTAATATGTGATTCTGATGAGTGAGCTTACACTGAAAATGAACACCAAAATTTAGGCCTGTAATTTTAATTGTAGCTGTTATTCTGGGGTGAAAAAAAGTTCCAGACTGAAAAGCTTTATTGTATAAGAAAATATTTGGTTAGCATTTGTGTTTTCACTTCATTTTTATAATTCTGTAGTGACTTGGTGATTGTGTTTGTAGTGTTGGTTTATCATTATATGTGACCATTTGCCTCATGCTTACTTACAGTCATTTAAATTTTAATTTCAGCTAATGAGTAAAGAATCTCCTGTGTCTGCTGGAAATGATGCCTATGTTGACCTGGATCGGCAGGTATATCTAATTTTGCATTATTTTTATCCTTGTGAAGATTGAAAATTATTATACATTTTAAGGAAAAGAATGTTTCGGTTCAAATTGGTTAGTATGGAATATACTGGTATAAGTTCTTATACCATTTTATACTGTGGACAGTATACATTTGTAATTAAAGTCATAATTTTTATTTAAAGTATTGCTATATAACCCACTTCAAAATAAATCATATTAAAAATAAACTTCATTAACTCCTTTAGCTTATTAAAACTTCAATAAGCTTTTAAAAACTTATTATGGTTCCTATTTTATAGTTATCATTTTTCTTTTTCCATTAGTAATACCTTTCTGCCTGCCATATTAACATAATAGATGCATTCCTAGAAAATGGCATGAATTTAATCTTATCATTTATTTATAATGTAAGATGTGTTACATCTTTGTAAAGAAGTAAACAGTGTCAGAAGATGATCTAAACACACCAAGAAAGGAAGATCTGCAACATATTCTTATGATTTTAACAGAAAAGTTGTTTTGTAATTTTAATTACAAATGCAGTTTGTTACATTGTCAGCTTCTATGTTCCAGCTATTCGGGACATCGGGACATCTGTTTCAAAGCATGAACAGAACTCTTTGTTTTCTTTGACTTGCTCAACTCTTCATAGTTTCTTCATGTGTTGTGATAAATCTTTGGACATGATATAATTTTAGTTCAAGTTTAATTTATCCTACTCTTACTTTGATGTTTGATTTTAAAGTTATTGCCTTGAATACATCTTTTTGTGCCTATGTTGGGTTACCCTGTACCCCCTTTATTACGTGGAGGTTTGGTCACATGAAATGGAAAGCAGTATGATTTTATAATTAAAAAATCAATTGTTTCTTTTTAAAAAACTAATATATTAGTTGACTTTTAAGAGAAAAGAACCAGATTCAAAGTATTGAAAAGAGACGTTTTAGGACTAAATGTTACAAGTATCTTTAGATTTTTGCAGAAGGGTTTCTGATTTCTCCCTGCCCTGCAGGAAAAAAAAAAGTTTTAATTTTCATTGTATATTTGTAAATACTAATTTTGTTCCTTTATATTGAAATGTTTATTATATCTCTCTGTTTCTAACCAGTTGAAGAAAACTACAGAGGAATTAAATGAAGCCTTGTCAGCAAAGGAAGAAATTGCTCAAAGGTGCCATGAATTGGATATGCAGGTAGGAAGTCAGTTCTGTGTACTAGCTTTTGGAAATATACACCTGTGAGTACTAGCAGATTGCACCATATACTTCCATTCAGTGCACTCCAACTACAGTGCAACTGTAATTAAAGAAAATATAGGAAATCATAGTTCTCATTAAAAAAAGTATTAACTGGCCCTCCCTGGTGGCGCAGCGGGTTAAAGCACAGCACTGAGAATCTAAAGCTGCTTCCTCATGAGTTCGATTCCCACCTGCCCCGGAGGTGACCACATGGTGTGGCAGACCTCTCCTGACCCACCCGCTGCTCCCCTCAGCAGTGTACTTCATCAATCTGCCTGTTCTGCACCCCACTCTGTCTCTGGTGAAGCCTCTCACCGCCCCTGAGCTTCTGGCCTGTACCCCAGTTCTGTATGCACAAATAAATAAATCTTAAAAAAAAAAAAAGTATTAACTAAGCAAAGATTTTTTTTTCCTGCAACCCCATTAAATTTACAATAAATGAATTAACTGCACTTGCTCTACAAGAAGAGAAAAGGGAGGGTTAAAAAGACGAGAAAGGATAGCAACATATATGGTCTTTGTGGTGTGCATGTAAACTAACACAGGGGGAATCGAGATTTTAAAAAGCCCTGATTTGTAGCATTTGCCAGTTTCCATAAATTTTCTCACTGTGGCCAATTTTAAGTTACTAACATTAACAGATGGCCCACAAATCTCCTGAATACTGTACATTTAGCTTGGCTGTGGTCAGAAACACTACACCGCGAGTCTGCATGAGCCTCTGAAGCCGGAAGACGGTAGAAGTGCTGAGCGGCAGTATCCCAGAATGCCGGGAGGCGGGAGGGAGGGGCCTGCTGTTGCCCAACCCCAGCGGCACCACCGTGTGAGCAAAGACTGAAATAAGACTACAACTGGAGGTGTTATACAAGAATTATACCCATTAACCCTGTCACCCAACGCACACCCAGTCAGAGGGTCTTTTCCAAAGAAGGTAAGCAAAAATACAGGGAGCTTAGCCAGTAATAGAAGTATTGCAAGGTAGTTCCTTTTCATTATCACCTTTATGAGTTCTTTTAATTACTTAAAAGCAAGGATTTTGCACATAAGCCATAAAACCCCTTTTTACCCATGCCCTGCACTAAGTCTTGAGGGTAGTCTGAATTAAAAAAGAATAGAATCAGAATTAAGAGGAAGCTAGGGACTCTAGGGTGGCACAAGGGGTTAAGTCTCAGCTATCCATGAAGCTGAGCTATGAAGCTCTCCACAGCCAGCGCAGCACTAGTTTGATCCCTGGCCTGGCAGGTGACCTACATGGTATGCAGCAGACCTCTGCTGTCTTCACCCTCTGCTCCCCTCAGCAATGATTTCAGTCATTCTACCTATTCTGCTCCCCACTCTGTCTCTGGTGAATCCTCTCACACCTTCTCACCTTTGGCTAGCTCTTGTATGCCTCAATAAATAAATCTTTAAAAAGAAAAACCAGAAATAGCTTCAGAGGAAGTGGAGAAATTAGACAGGAGAGATTGCTTTTTAATCCATTTAATATTCAATGAAGATGTTGCATCTATAAAGTAAGGGACCAGAAAAAAGGGGCATGATGCTATTTTCAAAAGAAAACATCATTATAAACCAATGTTATTTCAATAAATATTTTTCAAAGAAAAATCAGATCAAGAAATAAAGATGCAATTGTCAAACTTAAAAATTCAATGGAAGTTAAAGTTGAAGAAATTTCTCAAATAAAAAGACATAATAAGAAATCAAATTATTTGTAATTGACGTCAGAGTCAAGATGGTGAGAAGAGTGATAAAGACACAGAGGAAACCTAACTGGCGGTAGTTTGATGCTTGTTAAAGCTGGGGAAGGAGTACATGCAGGGTTCATATTTCTACTAGAAGCATTTTACATTGAAAAGCACAGAAGTCACGTGATCTTTAATGATATCAACTATACTGGTTTTCAATATTTAGATTATTTTTTTACAGAATGATTACTATAAAAGTGAGGGTATAGGGAAGAGAGCTGAGTAGATTGAGATAGGAGAGAAAAGGAGAAAGCAGGGCCACTCATGTTCTCACCTTGCCAAGAAGGGAGTCACCACTTATGTGGTACAACAAACACTGCATGTCTGACTCCATCTGGTTATCCAGCCTTAGCGCCAAGTCACCTGATATATTTGTCATAAAATATGTATTGGACACGTACATTTCCAGCTGCTAACTTAGGCTTCCTGGAAAGGTTCCCCATGGTCCACCAATCTCACTTGACTGTCCTGTTGTGCTCACTTCAACCTCTGCATAGTGCTTTCCCCTAGTTCACATATGTAATTAATTTATTTTCTTGTTTATAGTTGGTCTTTCATGTATTTACTATAATTTCTTCGGAATACATAATGCAGGGATAAGAACTTTCTCTGCTTTGTTTGCCGCTGTAAACCTGCACCTAGAAAACTGCAGCAAGGCAGGTTGTTTTGCAGTAAATATTTAAATGAGGGAATGGGCAGATGACTAAGTGAAATGAGTCAGTGATTAGATGTTTAAAATGGCACAGTGGCCAGTACAGGAAGCAAGAATGGTGTTAGAAATGCATTTGTGGAAAGGAAGGATGATGAAGTTGTTAGAACTTAACATATCAGAGGAAACAATCACTAGGTAGTTTCTGATGCTAAATAACCAAGAAATGGTGGCATATACCATTACAGATGTAAAGGACAACCAAAACCAAAATTAGGGGTTAAAGTTAATTGTCTCTTGAGAATGGAAAAACTCAGCAAAAACTGTTGCTTTTACTTATGAGCCCTTTGCCTTGTTTGGTTTTTTCCTTGTATATAGCTCCTTAATGCACTTTTGAAATTAGTCTCCTTTTTCTCTGCGAAAAGGGTGTCTGTCAAATATATTGAATTAAACTTTTTGCAATATCTGCCAGTCTATTAAGTCTAGTATTAAAGTTTTGCACTAAATATTCAACCTTCATATAAATTGATCATGCATCAGTTACAAAGCAATTCTTAGTAAAATTCAAAGAATCTGTCTTGAAGACCATGCTTTGTGGCCAAAGTACAATTAAAATTAGAAACTAGTAGCAAATAAATGGTTCAAAATTTTAATTTTAAAGCCTAAGTATTTATTTTAGGAAGAAGAATGAAAGAGTATAAATACATAGATGTATAATCTTTTAGGTGGTAAGTATTCTAAAGAAAAATAAAGCAAGGACAATAGAATAGAGGTTGGGAAGAGCTAATTTTAAATTGGTAGTCACCAGAGAAGACCTTTTGTTAGGTCCTAAAGAAGTTATAGAAGTAAACATCCCAGATTTTCAGTGATGAGAATTACAGGATAGTAGTAAATGACCCAAGGTGGAAACAGAACTGGTGTATTCAAGGAAAAGCAAGAAGAGAGGGTGTTAGGAGTGGGAGGGAGCATGGGAGGAGGAAATGACTATGGAGAAGTCTTATGAGCCTTTGTGAATTCTTTGAATAAATGGGGAACCCTGGGAGAATTTTGAGCAAAGTGGCCAATATAAGGGTTTTCTGCTTGCTGTGTGGAGAATAGACTAAAGACAGGTAGGAACCAAACACAAGGAGACTAAGAGGTGATTACAATAATCCAAGCAAAAATTAAGCTCACTTGATTAGAATATAGAGTTGGTAAGACCTGGTCAAAATATGTTGGAAGATAGAGCCACTGATATTTGTTGACAGACTGGATATGGGTGTGATGGAGAGAATTTAAGGATTATGGTTGAGCAACTGAAACGATAGAGTTACCTTTTGCTGTCATAAGGACTCTGGAGGAATGGGGGTAGGGGTTAATTAAGAATTCCATGTGGGCC